ATCTTTTTTTAAAGATTTAGATATTTCTATTCATTTACTTTAGTTTTGCTTGCATTTGTGTCTATGTGAGGAGGGTATTGAATCCTATTGATCCCCTGGAACTGGAGTTAACAGTTGTCCCTCCCACGTGGATTCTATGAATTGAACTCAGGTGCTTTGGAAGAGCAGCCAATGCTGTTAATCGCTGAGCTACCATTTCTAGCCCTGAGATCATGTCTTTTTTTATCTGAAAGATCGGAAAGAAGAAGGGACTGGAGAGATGGCTTAGTGGTTAAGAGCACTGACTGCTCTTCCAGAGGTCCTGAGTTCAATTCCCAGCAACCACATGGTGGCTCACAACCATCTGTAGTGGGATCAAATGCACTCTTCTGGTGTGTCTGGAGACAGCTACAGTGTACTCATATAAATAATAAAAGATTGGGAAGAAGGTGAAGAAAGCTGCTTTCAGCATTTGGATACTATTTTATATTGCCACAGTCCAATGACAAAAGGCAAAGCTGTAAGCAGGGAGTTTGGACAGAAGTAGAACAGTTTTATTTGCAGATGATGTGATTAAACAGAAGATGCTGCTGGTGGTTTTGGAGAACTTCACTACTTTAGTTCACACGTTACAAAGGTGAATAAAGATAAAGTGGTATCAATGTCAACAACCCAACTAGTGCTACAGAGTTTAGTACAGAAATATACCTACATTTGCATGAGTACTTTGTCAAAACACATGAAAGTATTTATTTCAACAATGTGTAGGGAAAATTTGTGTTAGTATTTTCTGGCTAGCAACTGACTGTAGACCAGGCTAGCCTTGAGATTCACCTGCCTGTTTCCTAAGTATTGAGATTAAAGCCATGTACCACCACCATGCAGGCAGAACCTGGCAGTGCTTTTAAAGACAACATTAAGAAACAAAACTCTATGGACCTTTTGTTTTATGATATAAAAATGGCATTCAACCCATGAGGTAGCAAACTTCAATACCATTGAGACTGAGGAAAGGGGGTTGGGATAATGGATTTGCTTTCAATTAGAAATTAATGTGCATACATTGTAGGTCTTTTCAGAAAATCTTGGCCTAAGACTTATAGCTTGGCAAAACAGGTATTTCATGAACAAATTAAAAGATAGCTTGAAGGACTTCTAGAACAATAAAACTATACTGACATTCTAAGAATAGATTTCTAAATGAAAAGCATGTTTCAGTTGCATCAAGGACTTAACTGGCTAAGATTCAGATCTCACCTCTTCATCTCTGGAGAAATGCCATCTCCATTGTGACCTTTGCTGCTGATTGCTTTCTTCTTTTTTCTTTTTTTTCTTTCTTTCTTTCTTTTTTTTTTTTTTTTTTTTTTTGGTTTTTCAAGACAGGGTTTCTCTGTGTAGCCCTGGCTGTCCTGGAACTCACTCTGTAGACCAGGCTGGCCTCGAACTCAGAAATCCGCCCGCCTCTGCCTCCGAAGTGCTGGGATTAAAGGCGTGTGCCACCACCGCCCGGCCTGCTGATTGCTTTCTTGAGCCCTGACTTCATAAGTGATGACAATAGCTATATTGCAGGGTGGTTATGTGGACAAAACAGGTTAGTAAATATGTCATTCTTATTAAGAGCAAAACTCAAGTCGCACAATGGCTGAAAACCCTAGTACAACATATAAAGAACTTTTACACATCACTGAGAGATACTTTAAAAAGTATAAGTGGAAATATGCTCAGCACCTAGTTGTTAGAAAAAGTGTACATTAGTAATATCTGTAATCCTAGCACACTAGGGAGATTGAAGTAGGAAGGTCACTAGTTTAATGATGTCTTGAACTATGTAGTGAGACTGAACAATTCAGTGTTGGTAATGGCATGTACTTATCTGAACCCCTAATAGACTGTTAAGAATCCAAAATAAAAATTACAAGCTTTGGAAAAAAACGAGATATTTCTTCTGGAATCATGGAAATAAATACTTGTACCAATCCTATTCATAAAGCCAAAGATAGGTTTCTAAAACAAGATAGAAGGTCTAACTATGAAGGTTACAAAAGCAAGTGTGTGCCGGGCGGTGGTGGCACACGCCTTTAATCCCAGCACCCAGCACTTGGGAGGCAGAGCCAGGCAGATTTCTGAGTTCGAGGCCAGCCTGGTCTACAGAGTGAGTTCCAGGACAGTCAGGGCTACACAGAGAGACCCTGTCTCAAAAAACCAGCCAACCAAACAAACAAAAAACAAAACAAAAAAAAGCAGTTGGACTCATTACTAGGGGTCACAGGTCAAAACTCAGTGGTCCTGGTAGCAAAGGATGTGGGTGGGTGGAAAAGAGGGCTGGCACTGGAAAGAGACATTGTTTAAATGATTGCCTGTCAGAGCAAGGAGGGAGTAGGTGGAGCTGAGCCTGGAGCTTCTGCCCAGAGCTGCTACTGACATTCAGTCTTCAAACCATGTCAGAAAGTTCCTCTCAGGAAATGAATCTGAATGTGCAAATAAGCATCACACAAATCTTTCTGTGTCATTCAGGGGCCTCAAGTAAATGGGTGAAAATCATTCTGAGGGGTTTGACCTGTAGAATGACTAGTTTCAGGTGGATACTGTATGTTATTACCAATATAGACACTAAGAAGCACACACCAGCTACAATTAGGTATCATCTCAATCTAATAAGTGATGTGGAATAAAGCTAGCAAAAAACTCCTAGTTGAGATTTGGACTTTATTTTTTCATGTTTCATTTATTTCTATGTGTATATGTGCGTTTGTGCTCACATGCACAGGGCATGTATGGAGGTGAGAGGTCTACTTGGAGTTCCTTCTCTCCTTCAACCACGTAGGTCCTGGGGCTCAAACTCAGGTCCCCAGGCTTGCTGGCAGACAGCACCTTTACTCTGAGCCATCACACTGTCTCACTAGCTTGAGATCTGGACTTCAATCAGGAAATGAGGATTAAAAGTTAATATTCTGACCTTTCTCAATAAGAAATAATTGATTTGTTGTTTTGTTTGTTTGCTTGTTTGAAATTTGTTTTCAAGACATGGTTCCTCTGTGTAGCCCTGGCTGTCCTGGAACTCACTTAGTAGACAAGGCTAGGGTAGAAGTCACAGAGATCTGCCTGCCTTTGCCTCCTGAGTGCTGGGAGTAAAGGCTCTTGTCATCACCACTTGGCTTTTTTCTATTTTTAAATCATGTCAAAAATATTAACAATGGTTCAAAAACCTTTAAATTCTGTTTTTTGAATCATCAACACTTTGTTTTGCATCTGGAATTGGCATGCACACTATTAATTCCAGCACTCATACTCAGGATGCAGAGGCAGCTGGATCTCTGTGAGTTCAAAGCCAGTCTTGGCTACACACTGAGCTTCTCTCTCAAAGAACAAAACCTCAAAATGTTTTATTTTTAACTTAGAATTAATTTATTACAGTTCAGGAAGCTACGTGTAGCCTGGATTTGATATTTGTTACCCATAAAACCTCATATTTTTACTAACATAGAAACGATTTCATGTAGCTGGACATATATTAACAATAGTTTTATGGGTGTATTATTATTACAACAGCTCTGATCATAAGGTCTCTGCTGCTTGGACTAGGGAGTAACAAATTTATTCAAAAGCTAATTAAAACTCACTGGCCTGGCCCAGACTGGACAAGGAAGTGAAAAAGAAATCAAACTGCTTATTAGCACCAAGTTTGAAGCAACAGTAACATCCTATTTTATCACAGATTTTCAAGAGTTTTATGTTTATGTTTTCTCAATGCAAGGTCTGTTTCCACTGTACATAGGTTCAAGTAGTTCCTATTATGCCCTGCGTTCCAGTCCAACTGGCTATATCTGGTTGTGAAAAGCTCATAAATATTTCACCACCACTAGGTGGAGAATCAGACACCTGTTTCAGGGAGGCAGGCTTGTGAAATGAACCAAAACTAGAAAAAGGTAGCTGGGACCACAGCTCAAGAGCTCCAAACGCACCTTAGAGGATTCTGAGGCTTCCGGTCCTAAATAACCCTGTCTAGTAGCCTAAATTTAGGGTTCCAATCCCATCCCCCAAAGCCTCGCACTCACTCCCTTAGCTGGGGGCTGCAGAACATTTCTGAAAATGAGCTTCGTGCAAATAAGGGACGTCAAGAGTCCACAGCATACGAATTCAGCAGCCTCAGGTCTGCAATTCTCCACCTCCGTTTGTTTACCGCCTTCGAATCCTCCAGGCTAAAGGGACTTGTCTATCTCCGAAAGCCTTTGCCGCCCTCCGCTTCAGTTTTTTCACTTATAAGTTTTGCTGCCAGAAGCATAATACATAACAGGATGCAAGGAAGTTTCTTTGTAGCCCTGGCTGTCCTGGAACTCACTCTGTAGACCAGGCTGGCCTCGAACTCAGAAATCCACCTGCCTCTGCCTCCCAAGTGCTGGGTGCTGGGATTAAAGGTGTGCGCCAAGACAACTCGGCGCAGAGAAGTTTTTTAAAACATCTTTTCTAGCTTCTCAAAGCGTCCCCTTTAAGGAGCCAGGCCCAGCTCTTTCTCATCCACCTACTGGCTTTCCTTTCTGCCTGTCACTCTACCTTTAAGAATATTTCCTGTTCTTTCAACCCAACTTGCACACCTCCGCCCCCCGGCCTTGGTCATTGGGCCGCCTGAGGCCTGTTCCCTCCTAGCTTTTCCCTCCACCTCCTCCCGCCTTCCAGCCTAGCGCAGCGGAATTCCGGCTTCTGATTGGCTACGACAGCAGCCTCCCCAGCACCGGATTGGCAGGCCGGTTGGTCGAGGCGGGAGCGAGGCGCATCCATGCTAGGCTGTGCGCATGCAGAGCCGAGGCCGCGGGAGGGGCGGGAGGGGCGGGGGGAGGGGGGCTGGGAAAGTTGAGGCCGTGCTGCCGCCGGGTCTCCGGCCTCGAGGGCTCGGGCTCGCTGCGGCGGCGGTGGCCGCGAGGAGAGGCGGCGGGGGCGGGGGGAGAGGAGGGCCTGGGCCCACGCTCCCCCAGCCCCGCAGAAGCAGGTAGCGGCTGCGGACCCAGAGGCTCGCCTAGACGGCCAGACACCGCTGCCTTCCGCTCCTGGGACCATGACCCAGGCGGGGGTCGCCGCCGCCGTGGCCCTGAGCGCGTCACCGGCGGGTGAGTGGCCGCGGGAGGGGGCGCTGACAGCCGGGACCGCGGCTGCGGGGGCGGCTCCGGGGGGCGGCCCCGGGCTCAGCTCCACCCACCCCCTCCTAGCTGCAGGAGGTGAGGGTTGGGTTGAGTGCCCCTCGTTCTGGACGCTGGCTTGAGGTTGGGGACCCCAGAGCTCCCACTTAGCCCGGGGCTATCCCTCTCTTCACCCGGGCATGCTCGCACCCTCGGTGCCAGGCCTTAGGGAGCTCGCCCTGCTCCCGGTGCGCGCTGGCGGACAGAGGCCCCATGCTGTCCTGGGTGCATAAAGAGCTGGGCAGCCAGGTCCCCACCGGTGGCCTTTGCTAGCCTCCTTCACCTTTTGCCATCTCTTCTATCTCTTTACTTGTCTTCTGACTTTCCGTCTGACCCACTCGTCAAACTCAGTGCTGCTTGCTTTTGTAACTTTCACCCCTGTGTCGGAGAGTTAGGCTGGCGTTTTCTTTTTAGAAGCCTATCTTTTTGCTTCTGAATAGCACTGGTCCAAGCGAATGGCATTTCTCACCCGATTTCAAAAGAGGTTTCTGGACACTTGCTGAGGTTGGGCATTTTGGGGATCGAGTTCTCTTCTCTCTGTGGGTTTTTTTTTTCTTTTATTGACCTCGCCTGTAGATAAGAAACCACATAAAACTAAACTGCCAAATCCAACTAATGTTCAAATAACATTTTACCACTAAGTAGAGTGAAACAACATACATGACAGGCCTGGCCGACTTTATAGGTAACAGTGGCAGAGTCTTAAAGGAAACTTTGATGAGTAAGTGGACCCTTCAGTAGCTTTTCCCCATGGCCAGTCAGACTTGATTTTTGTGGGTCTAACAGTTTCCTTGGTGACCTTTTCCTTTCCCCCAGATTTGCTGTATAGACACTATGTTTCCATTTGTTTGGGAAACATACAAAGTATTTGTCGAAAACTAAGGAAGATTCATTGTAATCATTCCACTTTCTGAAGCCAAGAGTTTAAAAGCTGTGTCAAGATGCATGCCAAAGGCCCACCAGCCATTTGTGACTCAGAATGTCCATAAAAGTGGTCCAGCCCAAAATCAAAAACTTATTCAATACCTTGAAAGCTAGCTTTCTTTCTTTCTTTCTTTCTTTCTTTCTTTCTTTCTTTCTTTCTTTCTTTCTTTCTTTCTTCTTAATTTCATTGTGTGGCTCTAGAGAGTAAACCTTGTAAATGACAAGGTTGTATCACAATGTCAAAAGGTTAGTCACTTAGTCTAAACAGTATGACTTTTGTATAGATTAACAATAGTTTGGTGACGGCTGTGCAGTGATGAAACATAGAACATTTTTGATACAAAAGGGTTTCCATTCAGTGTAGTAAGGGCCACTTAGAATAGTTATTTTCTAGCTTAGTTGTCTATAGAACATCACAGACGTTTTTAAAGAGATTTTACAGTGAGCTAGTTTTGTATGAAACACACACACACACACACAAACACTGTTTAACTCCTGTTAGAAGAGAAGCTTGCACAAATAGCAAGCTCAGAACCACTGCCAATAAACCCAGGTTTTAATGTTATCTCATGTTGTTCTTTCCTGTGGTCAAGCTCAATGGTTCCTAAACTGGACTGTTTGTTATAATCACCCTGTTTCACTTCCCAGACGTTACCTTTGACCTGGAGGGAGGTAGACTGTTGGTATACCTCTTAAAACTCTCCAGGCTATTCTGTTCAGCAGCCAGGGCTGAAAATTACCTTAAGCTTGGTACAATGTCCAGACTGTTCTGCTTGTATTCCAGGGTTTTCTTTGGCAAGCCTTAAGTTGTGTATTCAACTTTTGCCCCACAACCTTCCATGTGAACCTTTGGACCCCTCACTCAGATAATGCAATTTAGATCCCTGCTGTTGCTAACCTGGGTGTTTCTCAGGTAATGCATATACACTCCTTGTAATTCCCCTCCATATCAAGAAATTGTAGTGACAGACTCCTTAAATATGAAATCTTTGATATGTAAATGCACATATACCTTGAGCATTTGGGTGTGTGTGTAGAGTCTTTCTTTGTTCCTAGGTGACCCTGAATTTGAAGCAATCCTCAGGCTTTTAGTTCTCAAGTGCTGGGATTACAGATATGTGCCCTCATACCTCACACCAGCAATAGTTTTAGATTTTTTTAATTATGTTATTGAGAGAGAGAGTTGGGAGTGAGTCTGCATTTGTTGTATATGTCAGAAGACAACTTGAGAGACAGTTTTCTGCTGTGTGGGATTGGACACAATTTGTCAGACTTGGAAGCAAGTACTTGCTGAACCATCTTATCAAGCCAACAACAAATTTTGTTTTGTTTTGTTTCTCTGTATATCCTTGGCTGTCCTGGAACTCAGTGTGTGGACCAGGCTGGCCTTGACTCAAAGATCCATCTGCCTCTGCCTCTGGCTCCCAAGTGCTGGGATTAAAGGTGTGTGCCACCACCACCCAGATTCTGAGTCTGTTTTTGTTGGTGGTTTTTATATAGTTTCAAGTTTGACCACTTTGAATTGGACAACCAGGTAGGGAGGGAGGGGGCTTATCCTTGGGTGAGGCTAATTCTCCACTCAACTGTCCTTGGTTGCTGTAAGATTTTGTGTAGGGGTGGGAACATGATGAAATTTTCTTCCTTCCACATTAGCATGTCCATTGAGCTCGCCATTGTCCTGATCTTGGTTTTGCAGCCCTTCCTAAGCTAGAGACCATTTCACAGCAGACTACTGGTTTTCTGGCTCTTACAATCTTTCCTACCCATCTTCCATGATCTTTCCAGAACCACTTATGCAGGAACTGTGATGTAGACATACCTATCAGAGCTGGGCTTCCTACAGTCTGTTGATCTCTGCATTGTGTCCTGTTGTGGTAGGTTTTGTCTGTTTGTTTTTTGTTTTGTTTTGTTTTGGTGATAGTTTCCATTTACCTTAAAGAGAAGTGTCTTTTGAGGGGTAGTAGCTAATCTAAGAAAAGTGGCTCCTTCACCTTGATGGATGTGTTTTTGTGATAAGCTCTCTTTGAATTTTCCAACTACATGTTATTTAAAAGACTCCCTTTGTACTGATAGTATGAGTTCATGCAACACATGTATACTTTTTTTTTCTTTAACAATCCAGTGGCAAAGAGTGTTTTGTTCCTGTGATTTAAAATTCACTTGAGCTCATTACAAGCATGGGTTTGGGTTTGATTCTTGCTGTGGCTTAGCAGAGTCCTCATCCCTTAACTAGTATTGAGTTACTTTGTGAAAGTGTTGTGTAAGACCGTGTATCTTGGAATTCCATATGCAGACCAAGCTAGTCTCAAGTTCTTAAGATCCTCTTTGTCTTCCTCCAAGTGCTGGACTTATAGTTAGTTGTTCACCATGCCTTGCTTTCAAACATTTTTCGTATATTTCCCCAGTTTTTTTGTTTGTTTGTTTTTCAGCAGATTGGTTATTTTCTTTTTTGTGGTCCCTAGACTTATATGTCAGTACTTATCACATAGCCACAGGTATGTCTTTATCTGTCTGCTAGCCTTCAGAGCCTCTATGTTCAAGGGCATGCTCTTCATTGTATTTCTAGATACTGTTGTAGTATTACAGAGCTAGAACTCTACAACCATAGGAACTGTGTCCTCTATTACTGAATTTGTCACTAACAGACACTGAAAAAAAAATGTGTTAAATGTGACCACCATACTTTATTATATAAAGGGTATTAAACATATCTTTAACAAAAGTTGATTTGACATTAATTGGTTTTGCCAAGACTACATATTGTCTTAACTTTAGTTATGGATTTAGATCCCTTAAATATGTAATCTTCCATATGTACATGTATTTACACCTTAAGTGTTTTTCTCTGAACTTGTTATCCATAAAATATTTGTGAAACTCTTACTAATAGGAAAACTGTTAACTGTTCAATTGGATAATTTTTCTTTTTCTCATTAATTTTCCATGTGGGTACAATTACGCTACTTCAGAAGGCCAGATCTTTTAATTAGATCAGTAGGGCTTGATAAGTTACTCCTATTAATGTGCTAATACTGTGTTTTTAATTCAGTTCATCAAGTATTTATTGAGTACTTACATTTGCCCAACACCATAGGTGCTAAAGAGAATATAGAAATAGTAAATCGTGAACTCAGCTCGTAAGAAAATTTGGGGAAGACCGGGGAGCACTCACAGCAGATAATTAAGGGACTCCCTACACCATTCACTGGCTGCCAGATTAACCTATGAGATGAGGAGGAGAAGAAGAAAAACTAGGACAGACCCCTTATTTTCTTCTGCCTATTATGTGGCTGGTTGAGGAACCCCAGATATCCTTACCTCTCAATTACTGAAGCCATCCTGGGATCCCTGGTAAAAGAATTCTCACATTAGCTGTTGTAATTTCTTAAGCAGCAGAAGCCATAGAGAAGAAAAACAAAAGATGGCATCCCAAGACATATGCTAGTTCTATGTCTGCACCACATGCAGGACCAAATCCTCTTTAGTTACTAGCAACATAGTTTGACTTGGGCTAGTGTAAACAGAAAATGGAGAGTCATGGATGTATAGAGGGTAAGATCACAGAGCTAGCCAGGCAGTGGTGGTGTACACCTTTAATCCCAGCACTTGGGAGGCAGAGGCAGGCAGATTTCTGAGTTTGGTCTACAGAGTGAGTTAGTTCCAGGACAGCCAGGGCTATACAGAGAAACCCTGTCTTGAAAAAACCAAAAAAAAAAAAAAAAAAGATCACAGAGCCAGAAGAGTGTTCAGAGTGAAGCCTGGAGAAGGTAAGGAAATGCTAGTCCAGAGGTCAGCCCAGCCAGCTTTCCTTCTTGTGCTGGGAGTCTTAGCTGTTAGCTATGTGCCACACCTCTGATGTCAGCCCCTGTTTGAAGTCTTGTTTGAATTTAAGAGTGGGGTGGAGGAGCTCTTCAAAGGAGACACAGGCTATTGCTGACAGACAGCCAGAGCTGTAGGTATTTTCTACAGATGGTCTGTATTTGGCAGTGTGGAAGCCTTTGGTGAGC